GAATGTATGGAGTGTAATTTTAGTAGCAATAGATCTAGTGAGGGAATTGTGACTTTGGGTGATCAAATCATTAATAAGAGCGCACGTTTTAAATATCATAGATCTATTATTCAAAATGATGGTGAAAAAGGTGGGGATATTATCAACATAATTCATGTTGGATGATTGAAGTGGAGGAATGCATTGGGCTTGTTATGTGATAGAAAAGTGCCCCTCAAACTTAAAGGAAAATTCTATAAGATGGTGGTGAGACCTATAATGCTTTAATGTGCTAAATGTTGGGCATTAGAAGATAAACATAAAACTAAGTTAAGTGTTACAGAGATGAGGATTCTCAAGTAGATGAGTGACATTACCCTTAGAGATAGGATATAAAATCAGTATATACATGAAAAGGTTGGAGTAGTTTCGGTGGAAGATAATATTAGAGAGAGTTGGCTTAGATGGTTTGGTCACATTAAATAAAGGCCTTTAGATTATCTGGTTAGGAAAGTGTTACGAATATAATTTCAGGAAATATAATTTTGATGATATCAAACATTTCTATTTCTCTACGACTGTCTTGTCTACTAACATTTCAAGTCCATAAGATCAAACTACAAATTGAACCAGCTCAAGATTGGGTGGTTTAGGACTGAGTCAATTTGTATTATACGACAAATGTCTTTTACCTTTTCTTGAGTCCATTATAACATTGTGGGTCCTGATACTAAGTAATCTTGCACACATACACTGGGGGGAAAATTTATGTCTGATTGTTAGAGTTTTTATTTTGATCACATTATCCATGACAATTTGAAAATTATACTGGATGATCAGTTAAAAATAGAAACCCTAATTAGGGCATCCTGGTTAAGGCAGCTATAATTAAGCAAATTATTCTGGATGATATTAGCATCGACCGTGACAATAGGCTCAAATTAGAAAGAATCAGCCGCCAGATCTACTTAGGTATCTTTTATTTTTGGATGTTGTCCAGGATGATATAGTGCAGTTATGCCTAAATTAATCTTGTAATTAATGAAAGCAATTAATGTTTGATTGTTTGACCATATCATCCTAAATGATTGCAAGAATGATCGGGACGATCAGTTCACAAACATTAGTTCCTTCTGGATGATCAAACATGGGCCTGGTTCCATTCAGGGCAATGCTCTGGATGATATGTACTAAATTGAACTAATTGTCTGGGATGATCATTAGATCAGCCTAGATGATCATGTTATTTTTATACCGTCTAGACATCCATTTAGAGTGATGATCTGGATGATATTCATTATTTTGTACTAATCGGTCCGGACAATCTAATTATTTTTTCATCATCCAGACTTTTATCCAGAGTGATGGTCTTAATGATATTTAATAGCTTGAACTAATTGTATAGGATGATAGGTTATCATCCTGGATGATCTGAGCAAATGAACCTTCTAATCATCCAGACTCTTCCAAATCATCCTGGCTGATTTAACTAATCATATAAGATGATCGGTCGATCATCCTGGATGATCTTTGATGATTAGTTGCTAATTAGGACTAATTTGGAGCCCTTGTTTAAAAGATATATTGTTTTCTCAAGAGGTCTTTTGTTTCTGCCCTGACCTAAGAGAGCCAAGCAGAGATGGAGAATAAGGGAGAGAGAGAGAGGATCTTTTGATGCAGAGCTGGTGAGGGGTTTCACAAAGTTTGCTCCAAGAAAGGTGTAGAGAGAGTTGCTATTTGCATGTTTTACATTCTTGCAACTTGTATTATTTTGATGATTTCAAATATTATTATTTTATATATCTCCTAACACTTTTTGGAAGATTTGTTTTTGCTCTAGTGTGTACTAACATTTCAGGAAAATCAACTCCAAGCGATGAAGACTTCAAATCAAATTTAGAAAATATTCATTTGTAAATTATAAGTTTTGAAATGAGAGGGAGTGATTGTAATTGAGTGAAAAATCACAACACACACTCTTGGGGGAACAATTTTTGTGAACTAATCGTACGGGACGATTATGTTAATTAACCCCTAGGGAGAGCAATGGATAGAACAGGCGGGGAGAAAATTTTTCTAAGTCCTAATCGTCCATAACGAATTTTGTATTCATCCGGGGATGAACTTCTCTGGATTATCGCCTTGCAGTGTTCATCCATACGAAAAGCATGGTTCGTACCTAGACGAAACTCTCTGTTTGAGATTGTACAGGATGAAATGAACCTTCATCCCTGGACAAAACACTCTGTTTGAGATCGTACAGGAAAAAATAAACCTTCGTCCCTGGACGAAACTCTCTGTATAAAATTGTCCCAGGATAAAACACGTTCATCCAGAACGAACTGAACTGACTTAGCCCAGTTGGTTACGTCCTGTAAAATTTTGAGAACCGACCTATGAAATAATTGTTTCGTACCAAACGAACCTAGTTCGTACAGGACAATGAGCATGTACGAACATAGTTCGTACCAATATACATTAGGATCATTTTTGACACTTTAAGTAAAATCGTTCGGGATGATCCACAATCGTACGGGACGATCTACTCCGTACAGAATTGAAAACTTGCAGTTTTTGGGCAGTTTTTCTTGTATTTTGTATATATAGTCCAAATTAGACTACCACCTAATCTTTTTGCTCATTGATCTTCATGCCTATTGAAAGAAGAATCAAGGAGAGAGTGAGAGAGAGCATTCAATGAAGGATTTCTACCACTGGAGTGTGAAGGCTTCGCTTGGTGTTCAAAGGTAAGAGTTCCTATTTGTGATTTGAGATTACTTCACTCTTTTTCTTTCTTCATTATAGATTTCTTGTGAGAAGATTTGTCAAGGAGATCGGGTTCTCTACCCACACAAGAAGAGTGTGAAAGGATGAAGGGTTCTCTGTCCACTCTAGGAGAGTGTGAAAGGACAAAGGGTTCTCTGCCCACACTAGAAGAGTGTGAAAGGATGAAGGGTTCTCTGCCTACACTAGGAGAGTGTAAAAGGATGATGGTTCTCTGCTAACATTAGGGATAGTGTAAAAGGACAACGGTTCTCTGCCGCACCGGGTAGTGGTGAAAAGTGTGTTTGTAAAGGCTTCTCCGTCTTGCTGTGGGTGCAAAAGGAGAGACACTATTGGTATTAGTGCAATACTCAGAGGATGCCTCTGGGGAGTGGATGTAGGTCTGGTTTAGACCGAACCACTATAAATCTTGTGTCGTTTATTTCACTACTTTTAACTTTCTGTATTTTTCTGTTTAAAAAGTTGTGGTTAAAAAAAAATTTATATAAATTCATTAAAGTTTATTTTCGGTTCAACTCATTTCAAAGAGGGACAATTTTTTAAAAATACCAATTCACCCCCCCCCCCTCTTGGTAGCCTTGGGACATTAACTTTGGTTTAACAACCTATTCACTAGACTCAACAAGTGGTATCAGAGCCAGGTTTCAAAATCATAAGTTTAAACTACTTTTTGATTAACATAGATGGTTACATTTGGAAACCAAAATACACCTGAGGGTTACTCTATTACTAGACCTCCACTGTTTGACAATATACCTTTTTATTTTTGAAAAACATGCATGTCTACTTTCTTACAGTCACTTGATTATCGTATGTGGATCTTAGTCCAGGAAGGTTATACAAAACCAATTAGATTAGTTGATGGAGTTAGGATAGAAACACCTTTTGCTGACTGGACTATAGAAGAATGTGACTTAGCACAACTAAATACTAAATGTTTAAATAGTTTCTTCTGTGCTTTAAAATTTGAAGATTACATGCGGGTTTTCACTTATAAAAGTGGAAAGGACATATGGGATAGACTTTGTATAACTTATGAGATATACACTTAAAACAATCTGTAGTTGTAGAATTCTCATGAAAATATTTTCAGTTATCCCTTTCGTTGTTTTCCCTAGTCTTGCTGTGATCTTAATCAGCTACCACGCCACATGTGGCTCTAATTACATAACTCTATGGAATTGAAACGTGCAAAATAGAATTGTAATATCGATCAATGAAATTGATATTATTTACATTTTTAAGCCTTCTTATTTTTTATCCAATTTGATATTTTTCTATTATATTTATAATTTTAATTTAAGTCTCATTTGATTTGTATTATTTTTGAATATTTTAGTCATTGCATGGCTTTTATTTATAAATTATTTTGGTATTTGTTTATCAATTAAAATAAATGTTTTGGTATTATAGATATAAGATATTTCATAATTACTATCCCCTTTAGTTGAAAGAAAATTGCATTTATTTTAAAAATAAAAATTACTATCCCTTTTCTTAATTTTGATATACAAGGTATTTAATAAATTACTAATTAATCTATAAATTTTTTTTTTCACCATTTAGATTTGTTATGCTATTATTTTTCATAATTCATTCAAATTTGATGAAAAAAACCAAAATAAAAAAGTTTACTGTTAGCATTTCCTTCTACTTCTAACCAATTAAGCATCTTTGAAATACAACAACTCGTAGTACCCAAAGTCTAAAGAGATCATTTGAAGGATTATTATATAAAAGCCGGTCTAATTAATAGTTTTAATTTACATTGGTTGATTATGTCTGAAACTAAACTGGTTAAAAATAGGAGAAGGCTCTTCTCTGAAGGAAAACAACTTAAAGATGGGTGGTGGGCTAAATTGCAAAAAATGTGCAGTTGATAATTATATGAATTTTAGCTTTTTCAAATCTTGTAAGGCTTCATTTGGGACGGCTTTCTTACTACTTTCTAAAAAAGCTTTTTAGTACAAAAAATTTTCTACTAAAAAGCTGCTATAAGAATAGTAAGCAAAGCTGTCCCAAATGAAGCCTAAGAAAAGAGATGCCTTTAGCTTAGTGAGAAAAAACAATAATATGTTTGCAAATAATTTATCTTATACAGAGTTAAAGCAATTACATAAAAATATTTATGTGCTTATTTATTAAGTTTCTATTGCACATTTAGCTGCACCGTATTATAATCAATGCTTTTTTAATCTTCTTAAATTTTGAATATAATCCACATAATCATGGGAATAACAAACTTTTTCTTTCTTTTTTATTTAATTATAAGTGTTTGCATATACATTGTGCTCCTAATTTTTATTACAAATTCAATTTAAATTAACCCTTGCACATTTGCACAGACAATTTGCTTGTATCTTTAGTTTCTAACTGGCGGGCATTCTTTAATCCTTCTAATCATTTTCAAGTATTTATGTAACTTGCATTTGTTGCGCAATTGTTATATTCTGCTTTGAAATTTATGTTGTGAAATTTAGGCCTTCTTAGGCAGCCAAAATGGGGTCATTTGAAGGGACTGCATCAAGCAATAAAGTCTTGTGAGAAGGCTTTGGTCTCTAGTGATCCCAATGCAACTTCACATGGACTTGATCAACAGGTCTAGCGTCTGCATGCCACATCTTCTTTTGAGTTATAGATGCATAAAAATTTTCTAAAAGTAAATCTTACAGATGGGAGTATTTTCAATGCAGATATATGTATTTAGATCAAAATCTGGAGATTGCGCAGCTTTTCTTACCAACAATGACACTGAGTCTAATTCCACAATAATATTCAATGGATTGAAATATGATCTTCCTCCTTGGTCCATCAGCATTCTTCCTAACTGTACAACTGAAGCTTATAACACTGCTAAGGTAATCAAAATCTCTGAGAATTTCATGTTTCACATTCTATTTGTGTCCTACAAATATAATTCCATGTTATGAAGCTTTAAGATGGTTCCAACTTAACCAATTACATTTAAGTAGTAACATAGCAATGTTTTATGCACATTTCCTTATATTCTACCTTAATCGAAGTAATATTATACTTTATTTCACCTATATATACAACATAACTCATCTTCATCTCTACCATAACGCACTCTGATAGGCCGGTTCATCATGAACCTGCCCAGCCGGCCCAACGACCGGCTCACTTATACAGGAGGCAGAAAAGGTCCGCCTCCTTTGAAGCTTGCCGCCCACATGTGTGGACCCCACTTGGAGCAATTGGGGGAGAGTGATTTGGGCGGCTAGGGTGAAAATTTGAATGATGGATGTTTGAATTATTAAAAAAATATTGTATTAATATGATGGTTTGTTTAGGGTTAGGGTTATGCTTAGTTTGAGTTTCTCTTAGTGTTCTTTGGTGTTTTGGCTCTAGATTTCTTTGTCTAGAGATTGGGAGAGAACGATCCTCCTCTCGAATTGAGGATCACTTGTATCTTGCTTCGTGTACGTTTGGCTTTGATTTCCTTGTTGCAATACAACGTCTTGTGGCTGATTTTTGTCCCGATTTTACGTTATTCTTGCTGTTTTTGCCAATTAGTGATAGGTTTTCTTGCGAACTCAAGTATTCCCCTTGGGATTACTTGCGAACTCAAGTATTTACTATCACACACCAGAACATTACATGTTTAGATTATTATTTTTCTTGTATCTTCATATACAGGTCAGAATCCAACGTTCAGAGATGAAAATGATTGCTTCCATTGGAGGCTTTTCTTGGAACTCTTATACTGAAGATAGCAACTCTATCCCAAAAAGCTCATTTATGATGCAAGGTTTGTTGGAGCAGTTAAATGTTACAAGGGATAGCACAGACTACCTATGGTACACAACATTGTGAGTAGCAAACATAAGACATCTAAAATTTGAATGAACTCTAAATTCTATTTTTGTTCTGGAATGGAGAATTTCCTCTTTTTGCATGTAATAGTTCTCATGTTTGCAGTGTTGACATAGGTAAGGATGAAGAATTTTTAAAAAATGGACAGTATCTGCTCCTCACTGTCGCTTCAGCTGGTCATTCATTGCATGTCTTCATTAATGGAGAACTGAGTGGTATCTAATTATGCTTTTGAAAACAAATGCTTTTTTGGGAGATAGCCTGTTTGTTATAGTGATTTTTTTTTTTTTCACTTTACGACAGGGACTGCTTATGGTAGTCTACAAAGTCCGAAATTAACTTACAATGGGAATGCAAAATTCCGGGTAGGAAGCAACAGAATATCTATTTTAAGCGTTGCTGTTGGTCTCCCAGTAAGTTTATTTTGTGCATAGATTTTCCATGCTACAGAAAGTGAAAGAAAATCTGATGCTTCGATTTGTTATTCTCCCTTCTAATAGAATGGTGGGACACATTTTGAAACATGGAATGTTGGAATACTTGGTCCAGTTACTCTAAGTGGTCTTAATACCGGGAAACTTGATCTCACATTCCATAACTGGACTTACCAGGTCATGATCTCTTCTTATTAGTTTACTCTTCTCTAATACTTTGCATGAGATCTTCAGCATTTTTCATGTTCACTTGCAGATTGGTCTAAAAGGTGAGGCATTGAACCTTCATTCCATTACTGGAAGTTCTTGCTTCGAGTGGGGAGAATTTTCTCAGAAGAAGCCATTAACTTGGTACAAGGTGAAGAACTGAAAAAAACAAAGAAGTTCATGCTTTGTCCCAGAACTTTTCATAGCCCATTTTTAACTCTCTAATTCTGAAAATGTTACATCTGCATTTCATCAATTTGTCTGCATATCTTCTCTACTTGGTAGGCGTTCTTCAATTCACCTGATGGAGATGAACCATTGGCTTTAGACATGAGTAGCATGGGCAAAGGACAAGCATGGATAAATGGAGAAAGCATTGGCCGTTACTGGCCTGGTTATAAAGCTTTTGGTTCTTGTAACGGTTGTGACTACAGAGGATTCCACAATGAGAAGAAGTGCTTGACTAGTTGTGGGGAGTCATCTCAAAAATTGTATGTGATCCTAACCTCCCAATAACATTTTATTCATGTTACTGAAAAAAATAACTAAAGTTACTTTCAATCATCATCAACCATCATCATCCTTGGCCACTTTATTCGAGCACTTTGGAATTAGCTTTATGAATCATTTTTCTCCTTTCATTCATGTTGAGTATTACATGAGATGTTAAAGATGTTGAATATATATTGTGGAGATCTTTTAGCACAACTTCTTTTAAGTTGTCTTTAGTCTTACACCTTTTCCTCCTAGTTATTTCTATTTTATTTTTACCTATTCATTTTATATGTGCCATCTACCCTTCATTATGTGAGAAATTATTCTGTGCGGAGTTCAGACGGGGAGAATTATCTGGACATGTGAGTGTACATAGTGTGTACAAAAATCTGATACATTCTATATATAAATATGAACACAGTGGGTACATTCACATGTCCGAATGGTTCTTCCCATATAGACTCCGCACGGAATAATTACTCCGCACGGAATAATTTCTCCCATTATGCATGCTCAAACCAATTAAGTCTATTTTTATCATCTTAGATTTAATATATGATATTCCCACCACCCCTTCAATTCAAACATTTTTGAATCCATTCTTATCAATTCGTCATAAATCCATCATAAAATTCTTAATTCTATCACAATCAACTTTATTATCAATGATTTTCTATTGTCTAGCATAAGGATCCATATATCATATTCAATCTAATTTTAGTTCTACAAACCTCATATTTAGGACTCTATTCTGGTTTCGTTTGGGACGGCTTTCTTTCTGTTTCTTAAAGTAGCTTTTTAGTACAAAAATTTTAATTCTTGTACTACAACATCACTTTAAAAAGCAGTAAGAAAGTCGTCCCAAACGAAGCCTCAATCATTCATCCCTCTTCAAATTAAATCATCTTTGTTCCCATTTAAAGTACTTAAAGTCCAAGTCTAATTGAAATTACTTTTGATGATCTTAGGTACCATGTCCCACGCTCCTGGCTTAATCCAACAAAAAACCTGATTGTTGTTTTTGAGGAATGGGGTGGTGATCCTACTGGCATTTCTCTGGTGAAGAGAATCACTGTTGATGCTGAATTACAGAATTAGTCTTCATTTGGGATGACTTTTTAATTGCTTCTTAAAACAACTTTTTAAGTACAAAAATACAATTTTTGTACTAAAAAGTTCCTTTAAGAAGTAGCAAGATAGCCGTCCCAAATGAAACCTTAGTCTTCTCCTTTTCTGCATCTAGATTATATTGCACAGATAGTATTGAAGGATGAAATGGCTACATTTTGATTGATTCATCATTGACGATATAGCAAAGATTAGAAGCAAATAAGCTGTTTTATGAAGATGTACATGTACACTGGAAATTGTAAGGATTGTGCTGCCATTTCTACAGCAGAAACTGAAAGGATGTTGAAATTTATCAGCAAGCAAATGATATCCGAACACTCGAAGGCTGAAGATGGTAGTAGATTGTTTGGGCAATTTTTGTCGTTCTATTTAGATAATAAGTTTGCGATATGTGCAAACAATAAGCTCTATATTGTTGGAAAATGAAAATGCTTTTCTCCTGAAAATATGTTACAGGTGCCGAAAGTGTAATTACTTGTATACTTTGTATCTCCATAACAGTGAAGTTGATTATGTTTCAATAAAAACTTAACAAATAATAAAATGTTTTAGCATTATTCTTGAGTCATTGATTCTTCTTGTGTGTTTGGAGAAATTATTACGTGCAGAGTTCGGAATGAATCCGGACTCCAATAAGATTGCGCCATATACACAGTGTATAAGTTGTACACACAACTGTGTACAGAAGACATGCCGCAATCTCATTGGAGTCCGGATGTGAACTACGTCAAGACTCCGCAAGTAATAATTTCTCATATGTTGGGGATATTAATAGAAGAGAGGAGATAATATCTTTTTTCTAGCTTTGTTTGGCTGAGTATTAAGTTTTTTTTTACCTTATTTGTCTTTGGAAATGCAGTTGCAGGCTTTCTTGTGCTGAATTTGGATGTCTGCTTTCTGATTGCTTTATAAAAGGGAAATTTGATTTGGAATGATTTATAATAGCAATAATTGGAGAAATATACCACCTACTTATTTTATTGGATTAACATATTTCAATGTTTATTTTGGGATCAAAATATCCTTGTCTTTTGACTACGGACGATTTCTTTTAAGTCCGATATGAGTGAAAATGATTCAAATAATGTTGAAACATATTGGGATAAGATTCAAATCATGTTCAAATCTTTTGAACCTTATTTGAATAGAATTTGAATATGATATAAGCCGAGTTTACGGGTAGATGCAACAAACTGCGTTTCAACAAATTTAACACAACTATGATGTTGATAATCACAATGATTGTGGCTATATATAATAAGAAATATAGAATGGATTGTAGACTATTAGTTGTAAAACTACAATGTTCAACAATTATATTATTATATGGAGCAAGCTAATAGTTATATCACATCACAAAGCAATTGTTATAACTTTTTTTTTAAACAATGACAAATCATAGTTCAATCTACTAATTATAACACAACAAATTTGAATAGAAATGATTAGCCAAAGAATATGTTAATTTTATTATTATTTTGATAATACTATTATTTATTACATCATCCGGTTGGAATCCGTGAACCTCTCCTTCTTCCGATTAATTATCTGGTCTAATTTTCGTAACCTTAATTTTAACTACTAATTTAATATGCATACATGCCTCCCAAGCATTTTTGCTATAATCTACACTTTTAGACATGTTCATCTAAGGTGTATAAAATGTGCCTCTATGTTAGATTGTTGGTTGCACACACTAGCATGATCTGCACTTTTATTTTATTATCTCGCACACTATTCTTAATTAAGTGTGTGCGTGAACTTTTTAGTGCTTTATGTATAGGTCATTTGATCTAATAACTCATATTTTGACTCAATCAAATAATTTTATATGAGTCTTTATAAGTACAATTTATAAACTGTCTTTGTTATACTATAGAAAATATTATGCTTTAATTTTAATAATTCTCTCCAAATTTTATGGGCAGTGTAGATTTGAAAATAAGAAGTTTCTTACTTAATTTTAGTTTTTCAAGAAATTAACATATATCGGTACAAGTCGGTTTTTTAGAACTGTTAGATATCCGTTTTACAAACCGATTTCACTAGAGCATTATAGACATATTGGGCTATTCTATGAATAATTTTTAAAAGTATTAGAGCTATGAAGTTGAAGATATAAAAGAATTTATAAAAAAGTATACTAAAAATAAATAATTACAATAATTACCAGTGCGTCCTTGAGATATTTTTTATAAAAATCATGCTCCACCATACGAGAACCTATATATATATGATAAATTATATAATTGATTTGATTTGTATAAAGACATAAGTTATAATTGATATAAGTATCTGATAATACTGATAAAATTGATAATGAGGCATGTAATTTGATATATATAAATCACATATTTACATAACATACATGCATAGCATAAACATTGTTTGACAGACATATGATAATGATAGGTGTACTGATGTAATAAGATGCTATATAAACCATTTTATAACAGCTAGTTATATGATTGACATAATTTACTAATCACTATTCACTTAGTTACTAATCACTGATTTATAAATTATATTGTTTACACTGATTTTATTACTTATATGATATGAAATTAGTTGTATTGAATACTATATATTTTATAGTTATATATTTATACCGATAGCGATTGAATGATTATATACATATTATTTATATTATATTTCATTGATTTCAGTTGTAGGTTCTGGTAATCTACTAAGTTGTTAGCTCACTCTGTGATTTTATATATTTTGAAGAAAGGATCAGGATCCAATGAAGTGATGACAGATATGGGATTCAAATTTTATTTTATTTATGTATTTTTTTTCAATTTTATTCTTTTATTGTCAAGGGCTAAAAGATACATCGATGAATTTATTGATTGAACTATTGGCTATTGTATATGAATTTTAAGAAATGAATACAATTGATTATTTTGATGAATATGATTTAAAATTTTTTTCATTGATGATTGTATTAGTTAAAAGTGATTAGTGTCTCTGGTAAATTAATTAATAGATAAATAAAAAATTCTTTTGAAATTAGATCCTAGGCTGTTATATCTGATCTCAAGTTAATGAGCCTTATGATAATGCTCATACTTTCTTTAAAATCTTGTGATGACTCACCCAAATGCCATATATGGCTAGTGCTTTAGACCAAAGTCCAATCAAAATCTACTTAACTTAGCCACGTACAACACACATTTTCCCCATAATGTACATAGATTTTGTATATGATATACATACACTTAATATATATTATACACACACATGCACTATGTACATGTTATATATAATATGTACATGTTACATGCCTACATTATACTCTATATTATACATATGTATTACGTTGTGTGTCAACATTGTGTCATCACATCATAATATATGTCTACACATATGATACTTAGACTATCAAGCCCTAGTGCATATAAAATGGGACCCATACACTACATAACCAAATCAATATTTACAAATTGAAGCATATACCACATATAACATAGTCAATGTAATTTGAACATTATTGATCATATTACATCATATAAGTCTACCTTCACATCTAGGTTAACTTCCTATTAGATCAATTGAGCAAATCATGTGTATGATCATTCAAACCATTCTAATAAATCTAGAATAGATCGATATAATTTTTCTAATAATCTAAACCCATTACATAATAATTCTTACGACACCTATATGAACCTTGACTAAGAAATCTTAGTTTCAAGCATGTTTAAATCCTCTCTAAATGATTAGGCCACATCATACCACTTAGACATGTCCTAATTGTTAGGATATGTCGCTTTTGCCTAACTATTTTTTATCATTATATGGACAAGTCAAATTGGTTAATGTAATAACTAATAACCCTTATATCTCAAATAGACAAAATACATTTTGTGCACTCTATATACCAGTGTGAGTTAAATACAATTAAGCATTCATATGTATCTCCTTAAGAGGGTCATATCCATTGGAGGACTTTTTCTTATTTGAGTATATTATATCTTCTTAGATACTCTCCTTTTCTCTCATGCATTTACTTAAGGGTTTGAGTTAATTAGTAAGCACTTTAGCTTGTTGGGTGTATTAGGTTCTTATATTTAGGATGAACTTTGATCCTAAGATTATGACAATTGTCATCATATATTTCTCATTATATTAAGAAAAATTACTTTGTCATGATTAGATCTCATATGATGTTTTATAAACTAATTAATCCAAGATTATTATTTGAACGTATATTTTAAATCAGATATAGGTAGGCCATATAAAAGGTTAAATTTTTTCAATAAATATTCTTTTAAAAAAAAACATCTATTAAAATAATATATACTATGTAATTTATTTTCAAAGTTTTTTTTTTTAATTTTTTTTTTAAATTATATAAAATATTTTGGAAATTTATATTTTCAAAATTAATAGGTTAAAATGATATGCCCTTAGTTTATCTTATGTCTTATGACAATCAAACTAGTCTTGGTGGTCTTAATGCACCATATGAGGATGACCTATTGGAAATATAGACTAGCTATAGACTAAGTATTTGTGATAAACATAATCTTAAATGTTGATAGTTTGGGATAGAGTTTAATTAAGTTTTGTAGCACTTTTTGTATTTTGTATTTGGCTTCTACTATGTACTATCCATAATTATATGTTCTAGATGAATAATATAATATTTTTGTAGGTTCCATAATCTTAAGTACCCTTGAAGGTACTAGATGATGTTTAGCACAATATTGAGCAAAGTTCAATTCAAATCAAAAGAAAATTTGTATAGTTCTTGATATCCAATTGTGCTTTTATTTATGCCATATATTTTTAGTTAGAAAAACTAAGTGAATAAGTACATGTACACGTGCAATCTTTTTTAGCGAACACAAGAACCAAGGAAACGAAGATTAGAAGTAGAAAGATTTCTTGCTAATATACTTCATATTATATTTATTCTAAGAGTTCGGGCACTTTTTTAGGTAAATCCAAAAGAATCTCATTTTATAACAACCAAGGGTAAAATTTTGATTTTAATAACAACACCTAATTTAGATTTATGGCATCCAAAAAGTTTTTGCCTTATGACTTAATTGTGTATTTTGATGACGGTTATATTAGTTGCAAGCTTTATCATAAGAATACAAGAAAGATATCAATTTATGGGATCATTGTTTGTTCCTTTATATATATATATAGAGAGAGAGAGAGAGAGAGAGAGAGAGAGAGAGATGCATGAATTACACCTACTAAAACATATAGAGTAACATGCAATGTTAATTCAATTTTAATTGTGATGAAAGGACAATTTGTGACCCCATGAGTGTCAACTCAGTCAATTTGATTTTTATGATAACAAACACATGGAAGTTTCTTAGATTTTTCTTCTTAAAGAAGCTCAATTCACCTCCATTTGGGTGTCATATCTACTGCACAATTATTGGCAATCTTTACATTGTTAATGTGTTTATGATGCCAAAATCTACAATGCGATATATGTGAAATATTATGTAGATAAATTTTTGATGATTTCCTCAACCTAACACATGCAGTTGAATTGTCATCAGTTGCTGAGTGGTAGCTTAGGGCTATG